TGCAACATATTTGGAGCCACCGTGTCGTATTGTCGATTGTCGGGATCAAATTCTTCGTAATAAGGTTATTCCTTTGGTGCGTGTTCAATGGAGTCCCCACAATGAGGCTGAGTCTACTTGGGAACAGGAGGATATCCTTCGCTCGTAGTTTCCTAAAATATTGGAACAAGGTAAGAGCGAATTCCGAGGACCGAATTCCTTTTGTTAGGGGGGAAGAATGTAATACCCCTAAATTTTAAAAGGATAGTCTCAGCATTTTAAGTTTTATTTTATTACATTTTTTTTTTTTTTGTTTATGTGTTTAGTTGCGTGTTTATTTTAATTTATTGAGTGATTGTTTGTTTTAATTGAATTGTTTGTTTAATTGTTAATTTGATTGTATTTTTATTTTCTTTAATTGGATTAAAGTTTAATTGTTAATTTAATTGTCTTTTTATTTTCTTTAATTGGATTAAATTAGTTTTAATTGTTTAAAGGGTTTATTAGTTTATTTAAATGAATTAATTGGATTTAATAAGTGTTATTATTTATAATGTGAAATTAGGGTTTTATGTTTTATGACATCGTGGGTTAGCCGACTTAGAGAAAGGGTTTTACTATTTTAATTTTTTTAGTTTCGGTTTCCTTCTCTAAGTATAATTAAATATTAGGTTATGAGAGAAGCCTATATATATATCGTTTTGTGTCTACAAAGGTTTTAGAACCCTTTTCCCGTAACTAGAGGTAGAGAGAAATAGAGAGGGCTTGAGAGGAAAAATAAAGAGAAAGAGTTGGGGGTTTTTGTCACGAACAAAGACTAAACCAAGGAGAGATAGTTGACGCTTGCTCGTGGGTTGAACCAGGAGCAACAGTGGTCGGTGAAAGCAATTAAGGTTGCCAAAGTTACTAGAGCAGACGGTTTAAGGTTTTGAACTAAAACCTAAAGGCAAGTTCCTATTCTAACTCCTTCCCTTAAACATGTATTCTGTGGATGCCTAGGTAGACTCCAGGGTTTAAATTAATGTTAAGACATATCTTATATGCATGTTAATTCAGACTGTAAACAATTTTATTGAGTTGATTAACTGAATTTGCTTTAATGAACAAATTGTTTCAGTTTGTGTTTAATTCTTGTTAACGATACGTACTGGTTGTCAACGAGTTTCTGGATAATCTGGGACATTAACTGAACCCTAAAAAGCTTAATAAAAACATTACAGATACTCTGAACATCGCCGGAGGCGAAGAAGACGAACGAAAATCGGACAACGCCTCTTAAGGGAGAGAGTGCCGGCTCCCTAAAGGAGGAAGCCAGCTCCCTCAATGTCAGAGCCGACTCCCACATGGAGAGAGCCGGCTCCCAAGGGTGGGGAGCCAGCTCCCATGTGTTCGAAGGAGGCTCTCAACTTTTGAGAGCCTGCTCTCGCCTTGAAACGCACATAAAGTGTTTTTATGGTCTGTTTGGGCTGTCTGGGGTTTTCTTAAGTTGTTTAAATTACACTAACTGATTTAGATAACTACTATGGACCTATAAAAATACTAGGAAGCATTATTACATTAATGTATTATGGGATGGAGCAACATGACGTTACAGAAAAGCCTACATGTTGAATATTGTTTTGTTGATTTATTTACTTACTGAAACTTAGCAAATCTTTAGTATATGATTTAATAATGTTTAATCATATTTCAATAGTGTTGTAAGTATAGTAGATTATCTGCAATTAACTATGCTTGGATTGGATTAAATTGATAATTAATTTGTTGTAAACTGTATCAATTTATGGACTGTTTGGAGGATTTAAATGCTTAGCTGTATCTTAGCAATTTACAGGATTGGAACATGATTTTTAGGTCTTATAATGAATGTCTAATATGGTCATATATGTATTAAACTTTATTTATGCATGTCTTGGAGTATGGTTGATGAATACTTATTACTGTTTTATCAATTATACTATTTGGAGGATTGTAAGCACCAGTATGGGACGGTGGTATATTAGGGATGGATTAGTTTAAACATTAAGTCCTACCTAATTTGGATTGAGGTATGGATTAACCATAAAGGTTAAGTCCTACTCATATCGGTGTCAAGTCAACAAACCATTGAATGACATACTTTAGTTTCTGGATGGATTTTTGTACATATGTCAGGCCACTGTATCAGATGAATGATATTTTATAGTAGGCTTATACGGATTTTATATATCTATGATTATGGTGCCGTGATATGAGCTTGAGTCTCAGGATCATAGTTAGGGTGCGTATATCACCTAGGATGGATAACTGGACATAGTTGTTGTTCCCTGGTAGGTCTAGGCACACATGACCACGTTATGTGCGATTTGTATGGTATCTCTACTCAGGTTGAGACAAACCTATTGGGCTAGTGAGCGTCCTATAGTGTGTACTTATACATATATGGACTACTTTAGTTATTATGAGCTATCTAGGATGTATCTGCGTATTGAGTTTCTGTATGGATTATAGTAGGACAGAACTTACATGTGGGCCTGACCCACTCTATTATTTTTCAGGTGTTCGTCGGTTCCAGGCTTAGAGCTTGATTATGCTGAGCAGATACAGTCACTCATTCCTTAAACTACGTAGGACTGCTTTCCATGTTTTGCTTTAGATTTTGTTTTAGTTGTTTTCTTTTCAGTTTGGGATTTTATTAGGGGTTCACTAGATGGATTCTCCGAGTTGTTTCATTAATGGAGGTTTTGGATTATTGGATTTTTATTATATTATTTTGAGGATTTTTAGTTTAAAATTCTTTCCGCTTTATTAATTATTTCTTTAATTCATTTTTGTATTCCGTGTTCAATTACATATTAATTGTTTGATATCCCTCGGATCTGTGCTCGGACTTGATCACCTGTGACTCTAGAATCGAGGGGTATAACACAGTGATAGTCAGAGTCCGATACATCTGGCAAAGAATTCAACATTTTATTCAAGGACCAAGCATATAGGACTTCGGTATCACTCTATCAGATCTTTGTTAGAAGATGGGGTGTTGACACTTGAGAAAATACTTGGCACCAAGAATTCGGCTGATATGTTGACCAAGACAGTGACCATGGAGAAACTGAAGTTGTGCGCAACTTCAGTCGGTCTTCTAGCTTGAAGACAAAGAGAAGCGCACCAACATGCATAGGACATGCATGAGAAGAAGATGGAATAGTTTTACAAGTGCTCCAGCCTCCAAGTGGGAGATTGTTGTGGTTTTGTGAAGCCTGATTAGGTAATTATTTTTTAGGGAGATTTAATTATCTGGAAATTTCAAGAGTACTGAATTTTAGGGAAAGTTCAGTTTCCTGATTTGATTTAACTTACTTATTGGTTTAAGGAAAATTTAGTTTCCTGATCTGATTTAACTTTCTTATTGGTTTTGGATTCTACAAAAGGCAAGTTCTTGTATGACAAGTTTGGGACTCTATAAATATCAACTCTAATAAGATTTTAGAGGGTGTGAAACTTAGAGAAAAATTTGTGCCAATACAAGAGAGAGCAATTGAGAGAGATTAAGAGAGAAATCTCCTTGTAATTCTTCATCTTTTTCATAATGAATTTGTTCGGTGTGCTCCATGGACGTAGCCCTAAGATTTGGGTGAACCATATATATCTTGTGTTCTTGTGTGTGATTTTTTTTCTTTGTGATTGCTTGATTATTCCTCGAACAACGTGCATTGTTATTTTGCGTTTCCGCCACAACAACGGGAATTAAATTTGGTTAATTGTGCAGTGCAACTCCAACAACTATAAATGCACAAACAAATCTATTACATATAATTATATGTTTATAAAATAATAATAATAATAATAATAATAATAATAAATCTATTTGGTTTTAAACTCAACTAGATGAGCAAATTAAAATTTAAATACATATTAATAAGAAGCAAATAATGAACCGAATATCAAATGGACAATAACCCAGCTGGTACAAATTCACATCTTCAAAGGAGAAGTCGAGAGTTTGAATCTCAATGGAAACATGAATATGTGAGTTTGCTTAATATTCCTTATAAAAAAAAGAAAAAAGAAAAAAAAAAGGGAATAAAAATCAAGATGTTACTGAAAAACTTTGCTTTTAAGTGATGGAATTACATTCCTCGTGAAGCTAATGAGGTGGCTCATCACCTTGGCAAAATAGTTTTAAGATATAAGACTAAACGTTTATTTGTTCAAGGGTTGCCTTAATTCATTTGTGAAGAAGTTTTTTTATTGATGTATTATCCAAAATCGATTTATATAATATATATTCTTGCCTTAAAAGAAAAATGTAGGTTCATTATGTGGTTTCGAGTGAAATTTTTTATGATTTGTCAATTATTGTTTTGTGAAATAACTACTATTATTTGTCATTAAGTAAATACTATTAACGTTCAATTGTTGTGAAATAACTACTATTATTGTTTTAAGTTCATTTGTTATGTAAAATGTTTATTATTTTCTTTATCTACATTATTCAATGATTTATCATTATACATGTCAAATTTACTACTATATTATAAATATGTATAATATTTTCAATAATGAATGAATTGGTTTGTGGTTATTTCCTAAATTACATAAAACTAAAGTCAAAGCTAAAGCAAATTCAAAAGCGAAAAAGTCAAAGCTAAAGCAAATTCGAAGTTAAGGAGTCGTAAGACCGCAAAATTAAGTTATAAATAATAAAAATTTGAGGTAGAACGCGTGTAATATTGGTTGACAAGAATTGTGTGACTTAAATTATTATTTCATTTTTTGGTACCAGAATTAAAAAATGGTGATATCTGTTGACAAGAATTATGTAACTTTAATTATTACTTCATTTTTTGGTATCAGAACTCAAAAATGGTGACACAAAGTAATTCCATCGTGGATAGACACTCAAAATAAAAATTTCAGAGTTACATTATAATTTTTGGATTGTGGATATAAAAATTAAAAAATTGTACAAATTCCAATTTTTCTTTTGAATAATTGTGACTCATATTTCCAGCTTGACAAATTCACTTCATTGTTGTGATCTTTTCCAGTAACTATCAAGAGAGAGAAGGCACAAACTAATCTCTATATCCACTCTCACTCCTCGATTTTGAAGGCGCAAGGAAGGAGACGAGAGAGAAAAAGCCAAACATGACCTCAATTCTTCCGACGGAACACCTCTCTCTCTCCCTCCTCCGTTCCACCGCCACCGCCTTCCACCACCAGCCTCCTTGCCTCCTCTTATATCGTCCCAGCCCTAGGCTTCCCGCCGTCTCCACCTCTTCCTCCCGATGCTTCCACTCATCCGACCGCTCCTCTGCACCTCGCAGAACCCTCACCGTCGCCGCCGGAAGCACCTTGACTGCCAACACCGTACCGGTCTGTCACCTCATCCATTTCATTATTCATTACACACACATATAGATTTGTATTTATATTTTGTCCTAATTGATTAAATTTGATAAATTATTTTAGTTATTGTTTTGGTAACTCAATCGTAAGGACACAAAATCAATAATCATTATTAGGATATTCTTTGGAGTATTGCATTTTTCAAGGAATTGAATTTTGGTGTGCTTTCTTTTCAGTTCTACAAAAGGGGAAATAGTTGTAGTTGACGCAGGTTATGGTCAAACAGTGGTCAAATTAGTTTGTAAAACCTTTAGATACTTAGTGTAGTTACAAGCGATTGGTGTTTGTACTTGAACCGAAGCACAAAGATGTGTTTTCTCGGTCACGATTTCGGTTATATGGGTGTTCTTTATCCATCTCGGAGCCTCCAACTTAAATTTGTTAGTAAGTTGTTCCATTAATATGAGAACTGTTAATGATCAGAAATTTATCAGCTTATTAATTCTCCCTTTTTGGGTCTCAGACACACCCATCACCAGATTACGTGTATTCTTGTTGGTATTAACAGCTGAAAGCTTTCAATCCAACAGACAAAAGGGAGTGGGATAGATTTGAACGTGATTGTATAAACTTAAATGTTAGTTGAAAAAATTAAAGATTTTTATTTTTTAATTTTTTTTTTAACAAGCCCCTAATGTAGAGGATAGAGTGCCAAGGTCATTACCATTGTTGAAATGTCCAAGGTTTCTAGCGCATTGAAATTTGACCAAAGCTTTTTTTCATAATTATCCCTCGATTTAGAATTCCATTGTCTTTTGGTATGGTGAGTTTTCCAAAAATATGAATGGAAAGCATTCCCTGTCAAGTGAGAACTTAATCATGTCACTGAATGTTGCTGATTTAGAATGATGTGCATATGCATGTGTGTTCACTGGAATTGATGCACGAAGGGACATCTAGAATCATAAACAATAAACCATCACTAAGAAAGAGGTTCTGAAAAGGTTACAGTGACTGCTTTGTGGTAACAACTTATTTCACATTGATTGGGTTTGTTTCTGCCTGTAGAAGTTTAGGAGTTGAAAAAGTGGTAGAAGTTATTTTCTGTTCATATCTTTTGTTGTCAGAAATTTCACTTTGCTGTTTCTATGATGTTAATCTTGTAACTTCCAATGATGATTTGTGATGCATGTAGAGTAACCAAGCCATACTGAACTATTAAAATGGCTATGTTACATTGTGAACACAAGTAACTGAAAAATCTGTATGTTATATATCTATTTGGCATCCAATATGAGGCCATTGTTTGGGGCAGTGGTAAAAGCCTGGTCCACCAAGCGTGACAATGGAGGTTCAAGTCTAGTGCCAGCCACTATGTGCAAATAAAGCCAAGAGCTAAATCTATACCCTGTCAGCCTCCCCCATCAGTCTTGATTAACGAATCATATATGTATTTGTGCAGTTTTGCTATATGTATATATATATTTTTAATATCGGCATGTTAGTCTTATTTTATCCTATGTGATTCCTTTTTTCCCAATATGAGACTCGTTTCAGTGATATGTTGTTTTGCAGCCTAAAAGTGGAGTATACACAGTGGGTGATTTTATGACCCGAAGAGAGGACTTACATGTGGTGAAGCCTACAACAACTGTAGATGAAGGTATCTCTAGTGCTTGAGTTCTGTTTCCCAGATTACATTTCTTCCCAATGGCTAATGCATCAGCCCTCCTGCAAACAGCTTTGGACGCTCTTGTTGAAAACAGAATAACTGGTTTTCCTGTGATTGATGATGACTGGAAGTTGGTAAGTTTTTCCCAATTTTCTTGTGGTAAGCTGTTGATTAAATTATCATCCTGCTGTGTGTGTGTGTGTGTGTATTTATCCGCGTGAGGTGGGGGATTCTGAACCATTAACCTGATTTTAGAATTCTGCATGTTTTTATGTTGTCTTGTTCATGATTCAAACTACAGGAATCCTTCCCTTCTTCTTTTATCTTTATGTTCCATTTCTGAAAGTCATAGCTATGGCTTCTTAAAGGAAATACATTCCAGATAGGGAAACTTCGTTCACCTTGAAAGTCATATAACTATGTAGGCGGAGAGTAATTCCTTTGTGCAAGTTTATACTAGTCGATTAAATAGCAGGTTGATTTTGAGTTGCTGTGGGAGCTATGAAAATTTCATCAACTTGAGAAAGCTCCACCCACCTTGAAAGGGAACCAATTGATGAAAGTTTATGTAAGTGAAGGAAACTAATGATCACAAGCATTCACTTGACAACTTCTAATTTCAGATCGAAACAAAGCGGAGTACTATTTCTTCAAGTCTTGTTTTTTCTATCACTAGCAGTTCACTCATTAAAGAATAATCGGCATAACCTGCTTGGCTAAGTTCATGACGGTACTCTGCCATCAGGGGTTTAAACATAATGGCGTAAAGTCATGTCTCCTTTTAAAAAGATCCAATTAATCATGTTATCATTATATTCAATGACTTGTTTATGCAGCAATTGTGCTTTTTTTCCCCCTCGATGATCTGCGATGTATGTTAGAACACAATTTATGCAAGTGAACTTCTTGTGCTTTGACAGGGTTAATAAGTTTATTTGTTTCTGCAGGTTGGCCTTGTTTCAGACTATGACTTGTTAGCACTAGATTCCATATCAGGTGAATCAAAATACTGATTTCAACCCTGTCATATGATCTTGTTTTGGAATACTTAACATAATCAATTTCTTCTTCTTGATGTTATTCTTGGTAGAACAATATTCTTTTTGAATTGTTAGCACTGGACTACATATCTGATGCGAATGGAAGTGGTGATTTTAATTTAACAGTGTTGATATGTGGTTACCTGATGACATAAGCTCATGTGAATCATTTTCTGAAAGCCACATGTACATTAATGGAAGGTTGCATCACAGCTTGTTCTCTCTTAAGTTACGCCTTAGGGCTCATTAAGCTTGATTTTATTTATCCTTGTCCAGAAAACCATCACTCTCCATATAGAACTTAAGGAGAAGGCACTCGTAAACTCTACATCTGCTCAAGGTAAGAGGTTGTGCCTGAGGACTCTCTTTAGGTAGTGGTCCGGTGCTTGTGGCAACACCGGTCTCTGCCATGCCGTCTGCTTAACATGTCTAAGATTCTTATTTGACAGCTGAAGTGGAGGTGGCTCCCCATTTTGAGAGGTCAAGAAAGTGGCGGCTGGATGATTCAGCTGGTCCAAAAGAGAATGGAATGGCGTCCTAAGCAAAACATGACTCCCACAGGGCTTGGTCGTAGTAGCTTATATACATTCAAGCATCACAAAGGATGATACTTAGCAGTGTTGTGCTTGAGTTTGACCCTAATAGAAGACCACTAAATATGTCCTAAAACCCACATTAATTGGCCAACACAATGAAATTGAATGAGTTGAACATTAGAAACACCCTTGAGTTGGAGTTCACTTTCTTTATGCGCTCTTTGTTTTTTAAATCTTTGCCTGGATTATGATAATATGATCTTACTATCTAAATATACCTAATCGATCTTAATCTCACAACAAAATCCCACAAGGGTATAATCCTTTATCTTACTATCCAAAAGTACCTAATCGATCTTGATCTCACAACAAAATCCCACAAGGGTATAATCCTTTATCTTACTATCCAAAAGTACCTAATCGATCTTGATCTTACAACAAAATCCACAAGGGTATAATCCTTGTGGAATTCCTATAGAAACATAGAAACGTGTGGTCCTAATTCTACCGACCCTACAACAATGATAAATATTTTGGTGGGAAAGTTTTGAGAGAAAGTGAGCGGTGGTGGGTTAAGAGATAATGATGGTTTGTAACGTGAGTATTTTCGTGCCTTCTAGATTCAGAGAAAGTTAAAGGGTGGTGGGAGTGGCATATGTTTGTGGTGCTTGTGTGCGGTGGTAGTTGAGGAAGAATGAGAAATAAAGAATAAAATAATGATGAAGGGAAAGATGATTCATGAGCGAGTTGACACATTATTTTGGATGGAATATGTGATGGTTTCAGTTAACACATTATCACAAGGGTACTTGTTGGGATTATATGCCCTTCAGAGCAAATATTTGATTATATTTGACATTTTATTGTCAATGAATTATGTGTTATTCAAAGGTTTTACATACATTTGGTGTAAGCTTGTATTGGTTAATTCATGAGATTAATTAAGTTGTTCTTTGGCTATATAATGATGATTTGTGTGCATAGGAGATATTAATCATTGAATTGCATTATTATAAACTTGGTTCGCATTTGTTGGAGAATAATTATATGAGTGATTTAAGCCCTTAAATCACTCCTTGATAGAATGTTTAGTTGTTGTACTTAGGCATCAAGTTGTTGCCATATTTGTATTTGACTTTCTGTGTAATTCTTTTATTATAGCTACAAGTCTTGCCCAATTCACCTATAAATAGAGGTGGTTATTGTAAACAAAATTAAGAGAGAATGTAATGAAAGATATGTAGGCCTTTCGGCTTTGTGTGCCGTGGATGTAAGCCCTAGTGGCTAAACCACGTTATATCTATGTGTTCTTCATGTTTTAATTTCTCTCTTCAACTTTTTATTTTTCTTTCAACATGGTATCAGAGGAGGTTTGTAATACCCTACTCTATACTCTACTAGTCTCGGATCTCTGGATCAACTCGTCTCAGACCCTCGACAACTTTATATTTAATTTCAAGTTGGACGCTTAAGTTAAATATCCGTGTACCAACTTGGGGGGGGGAGTGATATAAGCCCTTAAATCACTCCTTGACAGAATGTTAAGTTGCTATACTTGGGCAACAAGTTGTTGCCATAGTTGTATTTGACTTTCTGTGTAATTCCTTTATTATAGCTACAAATCTTGCCGAATTCACCTATAAATAGAGGTGGTTATTGTAAACAAAATTAAGATATAATGTAATGAAAGAGACGTATCCCTTTCGGTTTTGTGTGTTGCCTAGTGGCTGAACCACGTTATATCAATGTGTTCTTCATGTTTTAATTTCTCTCTTTAACTTCTATTTTTCTTTCAACAGCATTCAATGATGGAACTTGGACATTCTGTCTGAAAGAATGTAGCATGTTAGTTTCTTTGAGATATGATGGCTTATCTCAGTCATTTGAGTGGAAGACTCAAAATCATGCATGTGATGTGTTGGACACATTGAACTGGATAAAGGATAAGTGAAAAAATTACAATAGTCTTCATAGTAATTATTTACTTATTAGTGTTATAGCGAGTAACCCTTAAACCCGAGAGAGTAATAGACTTTAGGGTTTATAGTTGGGTATTTTGGATAATCATTAATTATTGGCATTGGAACATATATTCTCAAGATGGTTTCTATGCTAGATAATTTATTTTGACTTGATTAGTTTGATCACAGAAATCTGGATCCAGTGGTTTTGATGCAATTGTTTTATTTTATACTTATTAATTAAATATATATTATTTTTCTGAAAATAAATTTTTATGTGGTCAAACGGAATAAATCAAAGAAGTCAAAATAAGGGTAAATTAGTAATTGGATCGATGACATTATTTATCCAATCACTAATTATGCATGGAGGGGTTATCTCGTAATTTAACGTGGTGTGACTTTTACTATTCATCACTTAGAGTGCAATTATATTTAGGGTTAAAATCATAAAGCCCCACTTTACTTTCAAAATCGTGCATAAAATCCCCAGTAGAATTAAAAAAACCCCTTGAACTAACAAAACTTATCAAGTTACCCCCAAACCCATGACCAACCCATTATATGAGTTGTGAAATGTCAAATTTCACCTTTTATTTAATATTAAGGGTAAAGTACACTAACACCCCTGGAGAGTTGTCAAAAGGACAATCAGATGAAAGTTACCAATTTTTGGGACAATGACACCCCCTTGAAAAAATTTCATCCAAATAAGGCCTTAAATCATATGAAAAGACAAAATTGCCCCTTAATATTAAATTCAGATTTATTGCAAAATATCAAAGCTATCAAAATGACACAATTGCCCCTGAATGTTAATCCCTAATCTTCTAACCATCTAACATATCGTCTGCCTCTCTCTCTCTCTCTACTCGAAGATCTGGTCCACCCCCAGTCCGTAAGGCAAGCTGCGGAGACATCGTCGTCTTATGTCGCCCAGCGACACGAACGAAGTCCCAACCTCCCGAGATACCTCCATGAACTTCATAGGCCTCGGCAAGCCCTAAAACCCTTTGATCTATAATTCCATATATGGTAGGGGTTTTTTTTTGTTCCTGTTGAAGTTCTCTTTTTCTTCTTGTTCCTTCGATCTATGAGGTTTTTTTATTTTTTTTATTTTTATTTTTTTATTCCATATGAATGTTGAAGTTCTCTTTTTCTTTTCCATTCTTATTATATTGTATAAGGAATTGTATTTGTTCTCCTTAAAGTGGTGTTGGCTGTTTTTTTGCTTTTGCCTCTTGGCTTTTCCTGATGTCCTTTTTATTTTTATCTTCAGTGAAGATGAGAAGCCCGATTAATTATTATATTTCTCTGTCCTGGTAAATAAATGCTAGTTGAAATCTTTGGGAACCGCCTCTTGCTTCAGAAACCACAAATTTCATTGTGATATAATTTCTTCTTGTTGGAGGAATTGCTTCTTTTTTTTTTTTTTGTATGCAAGAAAGCAAAAGGTTGGCAAATGTTTTTATACACAAATTTTTCAATCTTCCTGCTTGCTGCAGATTATTGAGCGGTTCCAGAAGTGTCATTTGGATCACTCTATTGCAAAATTCCTAAGATTGTGGCTGTTTGTTTATAAGGGTAGTTTCGTCCAATTTATTAGCTTCTAAAGTTATAAAGGTCAACTAAATGGTCAAAGGGTATTTTGGTCAATTTTTCATGCCAGTTGGCTTCAAGGGGTGTCTTTGTCCACTTTTCAATCTTCAAGGGGTGTCATTGTCCCAAAAATATGTAACTTTCATCTGAGTGTCTTTTTGACAAACCTCAGAGGGTGTTGGTGTACTTTACCCTAATATTAAATTAAAAGCTATAATTAATACTTTAAAATTATTAAAATGCCCCTTTATAATAATATTATTTAATGTTAGATGGGTTGTTATCTTACTGAGGTCAATAGAACCTGTTGATCTTCGATCTCAAGGAAAATGGTGTCTAGTTGCTTACTCCGTGAGTTTTTAGATGAAGAATGAAAGTGGATGGGCGGAAAAGTAGGAATATTTGATTGTTGACTTGGTAGGCGATTCAGCATTGACCACTCGGGGATCTTTGCCTACCTACCCCCTGTCTAGGGTTCTTCGGGTGCGATCAATGACCCATTTCTCGCTCCCAGTATTATTTTAATAATTTTAATATAATAATTATAGCTTTTAATTTAATATTAAATTAAATAATAAGGTCAAATTTGACATTTCACAATCCATTTAACGGGTCGGTCACGGGTTTGGGGGTAACTTGATAAGTTTTTTTTTTTTTTTTTTTTTCGTAAATTCTACTGGGGTCTTATGCATGATTTTGAAAGTAGAGGGGGATTTTATGATTTTAACCCTTTTTTTATTTAGTGGAATTAAAAATAATTTATGGGCTAATTACTTGGGTCAAGAGTTGACTAGACATTTAATAGCCCCATTCGAGCCAAGTATTTAGGCCCCACTAGATCCCACTCCTAGCCTAACTTGGAGTTCAAGCACGGGAGTTAGAAGGAAACAAGGAGAGGGAGAGAGATGGGGGCGGCCCACCCCTCTCCCTATATGTATGTGTGTTGTCTCTCATAATCTCTTGTACTCTCATAAGACATATTCTCTCTCTAAGGTTTTTATACTCTCTTGGAGCCCACTCTTCCAAAGCTTGTGGATTCCATTCAAGGTCATAGGAGTGAAGATTTGGGGGTGTTTAGAAGCGCTACTAAAGTGCCAGCCCATTCCTTGAAGAAAGAGATTTCTTTCATTAGATAATCTACTGTTCGTCCAAAGGTCGTATAATATTGTTCTTCTTTAATTTATGATTTGGAAAAACGAGTGGAAATTAATTTTGCTTCCGCAAGAGACCTGTTTTCCAACAGTACTAATGTCACATTTTGTAGTGTTGAGGAGTGTCCATGTTACAGGGTCTATATCCATGGGTTGATATGTAATTTCCCTACCAAAAAATTATTGTGCAACGTCATTGAGTATGAGCTTTTGGACTTACTTGAACATGGTTTGTTCATTACATTTTTTACCTGTGTCCTTGGGTTCTAAGGAGGATGGAGAATATTAGAACTTAGTGTTGGCAAATTCAGTGACAGAAGACAAAAGTCTGTAATTTTTATTTTTACCACATATAATTCAAAAGTTGGTTTAGTTGGTAAAAGATAGAATTTATCTAGGATTCATGGACTCTGAAGAAAGGTACAAGATCAAGAAGGTAAAAAACTAAATTTATCTTTTGAATTACTAAATCGCCTATTAGGGTTTTTTATTTTATGCATTCATATCATTAATCATTTCAGGGCTCAGGGCTCATTGTATACATGTTTTGATTTACTAAATAGATTTTTTAAAGTCATAAAACTTTTTTTATCAAGAAAACCTAATTCATCAAAGTACAACTCATCGATCGAACGATCGAAATTGTGATGATTCAATCGAACATTTTTAGACAAGTTCTTATTGAAAAACAGTGAGCTTCAAGTGATAGACGGATTGGTCAAAACATCATTTGAACCAACTCCAAAAAGCATCGAGTTACGGGTGGATCGCCCGATCCTGTTGGGCACATCGCTTGAAGGCCATTGGAGGGAGTTCGATCTCTCAAAATTAAGATAGATTGATCAAGTGGTGCGGAATATAGTTTCATCTTTTAATCACAACTCTAAGGCCCTAGTTCTTTTGGATTGAAGTAATATATAAACACCCCTAGAGCTCTAAAACTAATATATAAGAGTACACATCTAGAGAGTTCTACAAAGAGTATTTAGACACAGTGCATTTTTTTTTTTCCCACTATCTAGCATCTTGCATCAGATGGTGAGTTATAATTCAAAACGTTGATTATTAACTTGTTGAGTTTAAATGACACAAAGAACTTGAAGGTTGGACGACTAGTCGAGGAGATCACTACAAGGAGAAGAGGATCGCGTGAGGAGCGGATTTGTTTACTGGCAATAGCAGAGTTCGAGAAGAACATCTGACTTTAGTTTGGATTAGAGATAACTAAGTGGTAACTAGGTATTTTATGGGGGTTTAGAATTTGATCCTTAGGGTTTTATTGCCTTTCTTTGTATAGTGGATTTAATTTATTTGGGTAATTTTCCCAATTGGTGTTTTGCAAGGAAACATCATGTGTTTATGTGTGATTGCTTGATTGTTTTAGTTTGGCTTTTTATAGTGTAAATAATTTATATTGTTGCATTTGTACTGAATTTCAGTACAAATTTCTAGAAAACCAGTTAGTTAAAAATTGAACAAAATAATCTAGATCTGTTTTGGATATAGTGTTTTCTGGTCTTGAGCAATGCTTTTAATTTCAATTGGTATCAAGCATATCAATTGTTGATCTTTTAGGAAGAAGCCTTATGGTTGAAGCCAGATAACGTAACCCAAATGTGATTAACAGTCCTGTACTTATTCTGAACAATCGCAGCGGACGAGGGTCATTTTTGGCCAGTGCTGGGTAAAGAACAAGTATTGGCTTTGATTTGCAACTGTCTTTATGCTTATAATTGGAGACTCCATAACCTTTTATTTTATTGGTTTGAATTGTGAAATTTTCTGTTTTGCATCTTTAAGCCATATTGGAAGGTTTGAAGATAATACCTCACATTTTACTTACTTGACCGTTGATGGTATCAACATGTTATTACGTAGTTGAAGGTCTATAAGTTATATCAGGTACCTTGTCTCCATACCATTGTGCCATGACTTGGTGGTTTCTGCAAGATTTTTTTTTTTTCAGAAGGTGGTTTGTGCAAGATTTGCTGCCACCAGGACCACCTTTAATTGAGATTTTTTAGTAAGGGATAATAAAGAAAAATATCCATGCATGAATACAACTTGCCTCGTGGTGTTTTAACTGTGAGGTTGAGCAAGAATCTGAAGTGATGTCTCTTGGGTGAAAAGAGTGCACCTCTTTTTCCTACTGTTATTGACTTATTTGCAAGACAGTTTATTTACTGACTTCTCAACTGCATTTGATTACATCTATCAAGGGTATCCATTTATTCACATTGTTTAACTATTTTATGGAAGAATGAAATTGGTGTTTGCATAAATATGGTCTCTTAGTCCTGACTTGATGCTAATTGTTTAATATATGAAATTTCTGTTAGGTGGTGGACAAACTGATACAAGCTTGTTCCCAGAAGTCGACAGCACTTGGAAAGTATGTAGAAACCATCTCTGCTTTGAAGTAGTTTCTTTATGGTAGTCAATATATCACTACTTGCACATCAGGATTCATATATATAGATATCTTGTGCTAGGTGGTTATTTATGATTCACTCTCATGTACAGAATTTCAAGCTTTTGTTGTTCAACATTTTTTTGCTTAAAAATTAATTTAATGATTAAGGCATATTAAGAAATGTTTGTAGTCAAAATATCACCACTTGCACATCAGGATTATATATATATATAGATATATATATATATATATATGTATGTATGTGTATATTTATCTTATGGTGGGTGGTTAATTATGATTCGCTCTTATTTCTTTTACAGAATTTAAGCCTTTTTTTATTTGTTGGTCTTGAGAAGATGAGGGGTTGGGGGTTGGGGGTTGGGGGTTGGGAGGTGTGGGGTGGGTGGTGGGGTGGGCTGTTTGGTTGGTTAAATCTCCATACGTCAATGCTTTTTTATGTGGTTCAACATTATTTTCCTTTAAGAATTCTAATTGAATGATTAAGACAGATTCAGAAATGTTTGTTATCTCTATGAATATTTAAAAATGATTAACAATGTTTATGTTTATGATTTGAAAAGTTAAAAGGTTTTAGAAGAATAGTAAAAATTGTAGATTGCAACTGTTTAAGGTGACATGCATTTCTTTTCTTTAAATTTCAAAAAGAACCTTCAAAACATAATGATTTAAGATTGTTAATTTTGGAAAAGTTTTCAAAATCCAAGGAGGATTTCTGGAAAGTTACTTTTTTTATATGGGAGTCTTTTCGAAAAGAGAGAAGTTTTTTGAGACATCCTAAGAAGGAAAAGTGACATTTATGTCAGGACAGTATTTAATAGGTACCTTGCTTAAATAAGGAATACTCCTTGATGAATTCTTAATAGTGGATTATTATTATTTTTTAACCAGTTAATGGTGGTTTTTTTTTTGGGTCGATGGTGATGGGTGAATGGAGTTGTTTAAGAAGTAGCTTAGTGTGATATCCCTATTTAATTATTGCCATGTGTGTAGCACCTAAGTATTGAAATAAATTGCAAGATCAGCATAAAATGCTTCTATTGTGAGTCTCTGACTTTCCACTGGTACGTAGCAACATGGTGGAATTATGTGATTCATTGACCATATAGCAACATGGTGAAATTCTGAGACTTATTAACCATTATGTACTCTATCTATGTATTGATATAATCAGTAATAAAGTAGATTGGAGAAGTTACATGCTCTCTCTCTCTCTCTCTCTCTCTCTCTCTCTCTCTCTCTCTCTCTTGGTGGTGTAGTTTCCTGGTTGCTAATTGGCTGAAAAATCAGCTGTAGATTGTCCACTTAAGGTTTTTGAGAATTTGATTCAAAGAATTAGGACTATGGAGTATTATCTACACAGAACAACTCCCAATAAGTGGGAAGTTAGACACATTTTTAGTGACTCCAATGGGGAGGGAAATGTTAGTTTATTCATATTTCGTAAATCATACTTTCACACAATGTTTTCATATCACAGTTCTACATAATTTTTTGTATATATGTTTCCCACCATTGCAGACCTTCAACGAGGTACAGAAGCTGCTCAGTAAAACCAATGGGAAAGTGGTTGGTGATCTTATGACACCAGCTCCAATGGTCGTTCGTGAATCCACCAATCTTGAAGACGTTGCTAGGTTCTGGCATGCTTTCTCCTTTTCTTTTTTATCTTCTACTTTCTTTACTCACCACAGCTGTTTTACCATCTTTACTAAAATAATTGCACTTGACTTGTGGAATGATTCATTTGTTGTCAGATTATTGCTTAAAACAAAATATCGTCGACTTCCTGTTGTAGATGGCGATGGTAAGCTGGTAAGTGAGATCCATGCTGCTGCTTCTTGTTGTCCCCTTCAACTTTATATGTCATCTTTCTTCTTTGTGTTTTAATCAGCCAACTTTACTATTTTGAAGGTCGGGATAATTACAAGAGGAAATGTTGTTAGAGCAGCCCTTGTCATAAAACGCGCTAGTGGAAATGAAGCATAACATCCAGAACTAGCTTCATGTTCAGATATATTGGGGCATTCTGACTCGGCAAGCAGGATTCATGCTTATTATACACACTTTTCCAAAAGATTTAGTTGCTCTCTTCATGATTAGGTATGGCACTTCCTTTCCTCTAGTTTGAGAAGATCAAGGAACGAGCTATCATTAACATTAATAGCTGCAGCAGTAACTCACTGCTTTTCCCATTTATATTTCTAAAAGATCGATCGATCTCCACTGTTTTATGTGTAAAAAGTTTTGGTTATGTGAAAAACATCAGAGTTTCTTGGCATAATTAATTACATGGATTCTATTAGCTAAAATAATAGGCTTTTTTGTGGATTATATTCTGGTTGTGTTCGGGTTGATACAAAAATAGTTATTTTTGTTAAAATTTTCAAGTTACTGTAACCTTTGCTGGCTACATTCCAAAATTCATGTTCCATCCAACTGTAGCATGACTACTTATTAACGTAGTACCCATAAACTGCCAAACCGACCATTGGGTTTTCTGTAACTGAAATCCCAAGATGCTTGTTTGCCTGATGTGATTGTTTAGAATTTGAACAGAATATTCTTTACAACAGTATGAAATTTGGAATGTGACGAGACGAAGTCTGAACAAGAAAATAGGTGCTGGCTTTGTCTTTGCTCTTGCAGCTGCCGCGCGTGCTGGCTGTTTGCAGGCTCGAAAATTGCCCCTTGTGATCCTTCACTTGCAGTTTCCATGTTATGCATAGTCCACGGCTGGCTGTTTGCAGGCTCGAAAATCGCCCCTTTTGTTGCATTCTATGATCCTTCACTTTCAGTTTCCATTTTATGCATAGTTGGGAGTTCTCTTTTTTTTTCTTTCGTCGATGATGATGGTGTTGGGCCTCTTAGAACACCCAATAATTTACCACGGGCATATGCACCGGGAGAATTCTCGCCTTGAAAATTTTCCGGGGGTGCTCTAAGGGTTTGTTAAGCATATTGATTCATAATGATTCTGTATCTTTTGTATATAATTAGGTCTAAATCTAGAGTGACATATATGTATATATATAAGGGATTCTCAGGCTCCTTCAAATCAGGTGATTATATTTTTTTTAATAAAAATAATTAATAGTAAGAAATTGAGAACTTAAAATCTACATTTGACTGACTCTCTCTTTGTCCTTGTCAGGTGAGCTCAATACAGTATTATTTACAATTCTAAAGTAAAAGATGATGCACGTCTTCTCTTTGTTTCTTTCTTAATAATACTATTAATTGAATACCATGGCATCACAATTTATTTTCTAATCAAATTTGTGTTCAAACACAAACCTTTTGACCTGCCAAGTCTCACTAAACAATAATCTGTTTTTACAATTTATTTAAACCGGCATCTGTTTTTTTATTCTTTTTTCCCTGATCGTTGACCGAATTTCTTAGAACACTTTATAATTCATCATTCATGTTCACCATTTCGGGCTGAAGATAGTGATGTCAGCTGAACTTCTTAGAGCAACACCTTATAATTCACCATCCTTGATGTCAGCTGAACTTCTTAGAACAGCACCTTATAGTTCACCATCCTTGGTCGACTATAGTAACGTCGGCAAAACTTCTTAGACCACCTCGTATAAAACACATGTATTCGTTAACACTTTATAATTCATCATTCCTGTTCACCATTTCAGGTTGAAGATAGTGATGTCGGCTGAACTCCTTAAAGCAGCACCTTATAGTTCACCATCCCTGGTCGACGATATTAATGTCGACCGAACTTCTTAGACCACCTTGTATAAGACACATGTATTTGTTTCGTCCTTGCATGAACCAACTAAATGTCAAAAAAAAAAAAAACTCTCTAAAAATGATAAGAGAGATTCCAACTTCGAACTTTCAAGATGTGAGGTGAGAGCCGGAGTTTTTAAATTGTAACTTCACCTAATGTAAGGCTCACAACCTATCATTCTCAGTGTCGGCGGATTGCAAATAAAATGAAGTGAACCATGAGCTAAGTAGCCACTACTCTCATAATGAAAATGACACAAAATTAAATGCCAAGGCATGAGTGTCTTTGTACTCTGTACCCATGAACAATGGCATCTTCAATATTTTGATGGAAACCCTTTTCTCCATATACAATTGGCCTCACCTAACCAATTGGTGCAAAGAAAAAAACACTTTATTTGATGTAAAATTGAATCATGACAAAATACAAAGTCACTTAACCTCAAAGACATCCATTAATAGGGAACATCTCTCCCTTTCTCTAGTGTGTGGAAGTGTGTGTTTGTGTGTGTGGGGGTCCCACAATCTAGTCTTTAGCTACAGTGGGAAACCAGAAAAATACCTAACTCAAATCTTATCACTTAATACTCCAGTAGTTAGTACATACAGGCCACTTGCATCAACTCAAAAACAAATGTAGGCCCATTGATGTTCCCTCTCTCCCACCCCCACACAACCCCCTTTTGCCTTCCACCACCAATAACTCAACCTCCACCACTCTACCACCCCCTCAATCATCCACAAAAACCCTAATAAATTCCCTCTCACTTACTCTATATCCAAATTATATATATATATATATATATATACACACACACACACATATATGCCTAAAACAGATTAGTCCAGCTACAAAGCTAAGATTAAAAACAGTAAAGAGGTCGTCTCCTGTTTCGAACATGTGACGTTTGAATCACATAGATAAGTCAGAGTAGAGTAGAGCAATTGTATATATGTATGTATATGCAAACGAAAACAAAAAAATAAAATGAGAAAACTAAATACTACACTAATTAATTCCAGCTACAAGTTACATAGCAACAAAACTTCTTTATCCATATTAAAAAAAAGAAAAAAAAAATGAAAAACATAGTAATCTCCACCAAATTAAGTGTCTTGGTGTGTGTTAGCTAGCAAAATAGCGAAAACACCCCCTTACATAATATAGTTACATATGTGTACATATTACAAGATAGAGAGAGAGTACTTGGGATTTGATTAAAAGTGGATTTTACCAATCATCATCGCAACAATCCGGGTCCTCGGGTTCGGGCTTCTTGTTCAAGTCGGGTTTCTCCTCGAACCAACATGGTTTGAATCCGGTAGAGCTTGGTGGTGGTGGTTCTTCATGGACACCCACCGCCATGGAATTAGGGGTTGTGCTCTCTATTGCATCAACTCTTGCACCCACCTCTATGGCTTTCTTCCGAATTGAGGCCGAAGACATGTCGTGGAGTCCCACGCCGCCTTCCGCCGCCAGCAGCTCCGGGAAGTTGAGCCTCGCTGACGGCCCGCGGAGGTAGTACACGGCGGTGTCGTATGCACGCGCCGCCGCCACCGGCGTCGAGTATGAACCCAACCAGATTCTTGACCGTTTGTTGGGCTCTCTGATCTCCGCCACCCACTTCCCCCACTTCCTCATCCTTATCCCCTTGTACGGCCTCTCGCTCTTCCTCTTCCCCCCTCCCCCTTCCATCTATCTCTCTCTCTCTCTCTCTAAAACCCCACTCTCTCTCTCTATAATATATATATATATATGCGTACAGACTTCAAGAAGAAATTATAGAGAGAGAAAGAAGAAAACCCATCAAAAAAAAATCGATGGGTTTGTGTTGTGACTTCTTGGGTGCCAAGGTTCTCTTGTCATCTGCTCAAGCCTCCACGTTTTTTTCTTCAATTGAATTGAAAGAGAAAATATAATATATATATATATATATATATATATATAATTATATATGTGTGTGTGCACCGACACAATCTCTCTCTAATCTCTATACAATTCGATTGTATATCTTTATATATAGTAGGTGACCGGCTTGCCGCTTTGGAACTGGGTTTCTTTTGTTTGTTTGGATGGAAGGAAAAAGAAAAGGAAGAGAAAGAAATGGAGAGGTTTGAAAGGGTTGATGGGTTGTGGAGTTTGTGGGCTAGTGAAAAATGGAATTCAAATTTGGACAAGCATTTGTCATTTGCTCTATGGTGAGGAGAGAGAAAGTGATTATATATTGTTATATATATATATATATATATATTATAGTTTTTTTTTAGGTTTTTATAATGAGGTGGAAGGTAGGTCGGTGGTCGGTGGATGGACAGGTACCTCTACAACTTGACTTTTCGTCCCTAGCAATAACGATATGGTGAAATGACTGGTATGCCCCTGTGGATTTGTTGTCTTGTGAGCTGAGTGGAGGTGGTGTTGGTGATTTCGGACTAGTGATGCCAACATTAGTAAACAAACAGAGAATTAAAGAAGAAGCACTTATTAATCATAGATGATATTTAGTGGAGCAATTATACATTGACAATTGTATATTCAATTATTAATATTTGTGGGGAAAGTTTTGGAAGAACTCGGTCTTCATGAGCAAACTGATGTCTTGTATTCGAATCCCACCTGGCGCAAAAATTTTATGTTTAAATGATATGTGTAACTTTTAATTAATTTTATATTTTTAAGATTTGCATTGTGTAACAAAAGGGAGATTAATCATTTATTAGCTCCTTATTTGACAATTTTATTTTCTTTCAAGGTGAAAGGCAGATAGTTTAAGTATTCCAACTGCGTTGTGAGATTAACTGTAAAAATAATAATAAAAATAATTTTAAAAAATATTGGTTATTTAATACGGTCCGTAAAAATTACTATATTTAATAGGCTTTAGAAGGAATCCCGAATGGTATTAAATATCAAAGGCATTATGGTTTAATAATATTTTCTTTACCTTCTAAATGTGTGAGTGGCGCGTAGGATTTTGGTTTTTGAAGGCACTATGTCTCAATATTTGTATATGATAAGTGAAGGGTCTGCTTAGTTTGTAACTATTGAAACAGTTTTTTGTTCTCGAAAATTGTACAAAAAACTCTACTTGATTTAGTTTTTTGAAAACGTTATAAAAATGTAAGCTTGTTTGGTTTGTAATTCTGAGAATAATTTTCTATTTTTAAAAAACCAAAAAACAAAAAATTGTACAAAAAATTCTATTTAGTTCAATTTTCTAAAAACAGTTTTCTGGAAATTCAATTATAAAAAGACATGTTTCAGATAATTGTCTTTTATTGTTGTTTAAAAACTGAGTTACAAATCAAGCATATATGTCACGTTTTTGAGTTCATTTTTATTTGTCTAGTGATTAAAATGGAACCAAAAATGAATTGATAGAATGATCCGAATCGAATCGATATGCAGTGTATAAAAATTATTTGCATTTCAATTTTACAAATTGGATTCATCTAAAATTAAAGTATAATAGAAATATATAATTGTGACAATTTTGAATAGTTTAATGGCCTTGATTAGTTGGAAATAAATCACTTTTAATTATGTGATAATTATAATTGTAGATTTCGTACCTTAAACTATATTGTTATGTTCATCTACTGATAAACTTGTAGTACACTAAATCCACCATTCACCTTTCTTTTTAAAGCAATCTATTACAATGATTTAATGAGAAAAAAAAATTTTAATTTTTAATTTTTTTTACATAATATAGTTTATGATATTTATATTATTGGGTGTGAGAATATTTTTAATCTCCTTTTCATTCACTCAGTAATAGGACTTTTACTGGTGTCTGATGGAAGCGCTTGGTCAAATCTTTGGAATTAAAAATAAAATAAAAAAATAAAAAAACTGAAAAAAGTAAGACAACCCTTGTGTGCTATCCTATAAGCATTAATGATTGCTATACTTATGGAAAAGTTACTTTTTCATGGGACATATGATATATATATATATATAAATATATGTATACTCACGCAATGGGTTGTTTTAGTCAGCATCACTTCCTGCTGTAGGGTAGCTGGCCATGGCCATCCATACCATGGTACATAGATATGTATATATGACTTGCCACTTTCATATAAATGTCATATATATTATGGTCTTTTTTTCTTTTTTCTCAAAGACTAGAGAATTTGGAGCAAACAACTACCTTATATAGTCATATTGACCCCTTGTGTAGTTGTCATTCTCAAATTAAATAAAATATCAAGTACAGACTTGAATTTAAAATAAAATTAACAAAAGTTCTAAGAATTTATATTTTAAATCCATCCTCATTCTTACAAATGCAGCAGCCTCAATAATATGTTATATAGAGCCATCGTACCATTAATACATGTTCTTCTTGCATAGGATGTTGCTGAAAAAGGGCTGGAGACTAAATTAACTTCTAGCAATAATTTGAATAAATCCACTATTCTCAAATTAAATCTTGCGTCATTACGGTTTTTGACTATTTTTAAATTCAAATTAGCGTCATTATGCTTTTAATTATTTTCGAATTCAAACTCTTGTCATCACACTTCAAACTCGCGTCATTACACTTTTAATTATTTTCGAATTCAAACTCTTGTCATCGCACTTGTGAGATGACGGTTTATATGCAATGACCCTTAATATGCTCTGAGTACAGAATTTAAAGATTGGTTTGTACACTTAATTATTGAGTATATTTAGCAGACCCTAATTAGTATACCATTAATATTAAATCAGGTTAGAACGGATGTCACAAATATAAAATCGTACTACTTAAATAGTTGAGCTCGTTTTCAAATTTTCTTTTACTTGATAATTATTCGCGCGCAAAAAAAGGTAACGTGTTGATGCATTAGTCCAATGGTGTGAATGTGTAGCATTACAATCCTTACATTCTTGCAGACATGTACAATTAATATGAATGGTGACATTATGATTCGCAGACACATTCCTTATTAGTTTATGGTGTTGTCATATCAATTTACCTCTCTCCCAAAAATAAGAAAAAACCCTAATTCACTTGTCTGTCACTTAGAATAATGATTTAGATGATTTATAATTCAAAAGTCGATCTACTCCATGTGATTTATTTATATGAGAACTGACATTATCATAATGTTAATTCACATGGTACGATAACGACATCATCCTTTACTCACATAAAATTAATTAAATTTTTTCAACTGTGAGACTCAGATTCGAACTCCTTATCATTATCTTTGTTAGTATTAAATTTTAATTGAAAAGTGTGACAACAAAAATTCAAATTAGAAAACATTTTTTTTTTTTTTTTGTACAAATCATGCAACCTAAATGCACATAATACATTCACTTAACAAGTAGGTAATGACTTGGACGCCCTAACATCCTAAGTTCGAATCCGTCCATTTCAATTATTATCTTTGATTTAAAATACTGCTTGCATTGTGGGGTCGGAGTGAGTAACCGGGTTTACTTGGTAGCTACAAGTCAAAAGTGTGGATAATTGCCAGAATTCTCACGTCATTAAAAAAAAAAGAAAAAGTGTACCAACAGTGGTTAAATTAGTAATTTTAGATTTTCACTCACTAGCTAGTATCGTAGACCTTAGATTTAGGAGAGTTGAGAGTCAAACAAAAAGACCAAAAATCATGCCACATTTTCAGGGTAAATTGAAAAAAACATAGTATTAATGTAGGGTTGGTAATAGAGCTAGGTCCTAACTATCCTAAGTATAAGAAAGTCAGATTTGCTGGAACATACTAACTTGGGCCCTTATATAAGCATGTGTGTATCAATGTATGTGTGTGTATATATACTACATATAGAGAGAGAAAGAGAGAGAGAGAGAGATATTTGAAGATGGATGTTAAATTTGAAATGGAGCATGCATGCATTGACTGGGATGTGAGAAAATAGAGTCCTATAGTGTGTGGCATTTAGGAAGGCATTTGACTTAAGAAGGTCGTAGTATGACAATGGGTATACCCTCAATTAAAGTCAAAAAGTGATGATCATTAGGGCATAGCATCGGATGATTACCGGCACATGACACAATTAAAAATTCAGTTAGTTGCATTTGGCCATGAGGTGTGACCAAAGAGAAAGTCACGGATAGGTCTAGCAAAAATTGTGGTCAACCTTGGAAACGAAACACATTTCAACAAGTTTTAAAGATGATGAAGACATTTTGGCATCTTATTACAACTGTGCATGTGCGTGTGTTTGCATGTGCGTGTGCGTGTGTTTGTGTGTGCGTGTGAACGGGGGAGGGGAGTTTTGGCTTTATTTTAGTACATTTTTAGAAATAAATAAATAAACTAAAGATTTTAAATTTACAAGTAAATTATAGAATTATTTTTTTTTTTTGAAATAAAATTGTATAATTTAGTTTTAGTTTATTTGGAAAAGATAGAAGTGAATGGTTTAGTAAATATAAAGGGAGAGAGAAGTATAGTGATGATGGGATAATCACACTTATTGAATTTTAGTTAAAATAAAATTGTATAATTGAGTTTTTACAATTTATAAATGATAAAAGTTAATGATTTAGTAAAGACCAATGAAAAATTATAGTGGTGATTAGATAATCACACTTCAGAAATAAGATAGTTTAATGAGTGATAGATAGTATAGATGATACCATATGATAAATGATTGGTTTTAAAAAAGAATTAAAGAATGAATCAGTTTTAAAAGACAATTAAAAATAAATAATAAAAAAAGTAAGAGAGAAGAAAGATATATATACAAACATACCGACTACAATTAGCAATCCTCTTTTTATGATTAACAAACATCTTCTCTAATTCTTGACTCTTGGTTTTTGCTACATCCCTACTTGTTGATTTAGGTATTAGGGTTAAAAAAAGGGCTAGTTGAGTGTACGAAGTTTCTGTCAATGTAAAGTCTAGGACCTTATCTCCATATGCGATAGCTCGTTTTTCAATTCAAATTGTGATCTCGGAGTCACAACGAATCATTGTAATTTATTATAATTTGCAAACTCCTTCTTAGTGGTTGAGTTGCTCCCATTATCTTTTTCTTATGTTGTGTATATATATATATATATATATATATATATATAATAAATAAATAAAAGTACTACTCTCTCCGTTCCATAATAGATGTGGGGAATAGAACTTTTTAAGGGGACATGCAATTATTGCATTATCCCCTTTAAAAATTACAAAGTTACCCTTTAAATATATATATAATCAAGTTTGAAAAAAAAAAAAAAAGATGGACAACTATGATGGAACGGAG